TTATTCCATTAAAGTTACTATGAATAAAAAAGTGAACAAAATCACGTGATTGGAGAGTTAAAGCTTCTGGCACCATAGTCTTGACAGGTGGTAAGAACCAGCTGTTGACATATTATCGAAGCCAATTGCAGGATAAGGTAATACAGAAGCAATTCTTACTATAGCAGGTCGCATATAGGTACTCAATGAGCAACTGGGTGAGTCTTCATTTGTAATTTAGGTACTGGGAAGAATAACTCTTTAGAAAATTTTAATAGTTTAAATAATTATTACAAAGCCTAATAAAGTGAAAGCAAGATTGCCGAATTTTAAAAAAAAAAAAAAATATGCAACAAATAATTGAAGAACAAACATCAGCTATAATAGCATTATCTTTATACTTGGCAGCAAATTTCATGAGACTATAAATATAAATAAAGAATTACAGAGACTAAACTACTAGGAAAGATCAATATGCAATACAAACAATAAACTACTATTCAATATTAGAATTTTGATAGCAATTACAACAAGCTAACTAAGTACACAGGCTACCAATTTAAGTCTAAATACTGTAAATTTATAGTTGCAATTAACAAAGTATATTAAGTAAAAGTAAATAAACAAAAAAAATAACATGGAGATATCAATTAGTTTATAACCAAAGCAGCATTTCATAGCAGCATAGTATGCCTATACTATATATATAACTAGTTTTGAATTTAGTTTTAGTTTCAGATTTTACTAAGTCTTAGCTTAAGATGATTACTTTCAAAATTAAAACCTTGTTGAAAAACTAACCAAAGACAAATTTAATTGAAACCATAATATAAAGATTGAAATTTTATTTAAAACTTTATGTGATTGTCAAAATTCTTAAAAAGGATAATAATAAATAAATTAATAATATAGAAATAGCAATAATGATAGTATTTTTTTTAATTATTTTAAAATTTTTTCTTTGCTTTTTAAAAAATAACATAAAAAAATAAAAAATCATTAATTAAAAGAAAAGCAGGTGGACATTCTCCTGATAAAATATAGACTTGATTTAAAAAGGGAAATGAAGTAACAAAAGAATATTACTTTACAACATACTTTTTTTGTAATAACTACTAGATTATTGCTAAACTAATTAAACTTAAAGCACATCTTGCATATAAATACAAAAAAGTTAATTCAAATATTAGAATTAAAGTTTTAATATTATTAACAAGCAATTGTATTGAATTAGATAATAATATAGCCTTAACATCAACTACAAAAACAAATAAAAAATATAGATTAGAAAGTAGTATTAGTATAGATAATAATTATGAAAATGTTTCTACTTCACCAAGCAAAGAAAATCAAATTAATAAAATAGTACTAAAAATAGTTGTATGTTGTAATTTGCCTTTTGCTCTTGTTGAGCATTCTTTTTTTCAAAATATAGCAATGCATTACATGCTACTTATTCTGTTTCAAGCTGCTGAATTGTTTCAAATTCACTTTTAGATTAAGAAGTTGCTTGAGTAAATGTAAAAGTTAAACAAATTCTTGAAAAAGAAGTTAATCTTACAATTGCATTCAATAGATAGACAGATCCTATAGGCCAATTAATGGTATTCAAAAAAATTATTCTAATATTCCTCATCATATTAGTATATTTCTTGAAAAAGAAATTATTACAATTGTTGAAGATATTGGCCCTGAAAAAATAGCTGCTATTATAACAAATAACGAGTCAAATATTTGTACTACACAAAAAATTCTCTGCAAAAAATATCCTCATATTTTAAATATTAGATGTATAGTATACTGTATAACATGGCAGACATTCAATTTGATTGGCTTGAAGATCACTAAGTTATACATAGTGATGTGAGTTGGTAGCTACTGGTAACTATCAGTAGCTACTGGTAGCTACCGTGAAAGTAGTAGATAGTAGGTAGATGGTTAGTAGTTTATTAAATCTGATTGGTTGATTATGGCTTGCACTAAATATATAGGTAGAAGAAAAATTAGCTAATTAGAATAAAAGTTTGCTATACTACCAGCAGTGGTAGCTAACCACCTACTAGTATATACTGGTAGAAAAATTGTAATTTGGTAGAATCTCTATCACTAGTTATTGTGGCAGATTAAAATAAAATCGGATTAAAATGAAATTTTTCTATTTTTTTTAAGAAAATTTAAAATTTTTTGGTAAACATTTTTTAGGATTAGGGTTTAGAATTAGTTTTATTAATAAAAGAGTATAACAGATACAAGACATGTCCTCCTACAGGGGTTCAAAATGTTGTCACATATAAATCAAATGAGTTGACTCACCCAAATTTATATGTAAAATTTGACAAAAAAACACTTTTCTTTAATTTACTCAAGAAAGTAAATATAAAAAATAATTTTAAATATAGGACTTATATTTTTTAGCATTTGATAATCCTTTAACAAAAATTATAGAACTAAACACCAAGTAGTTTTAAAAGGATCTTGCTCTAAAGTTGGTGTATTTTTTGTCTTTACAACCCCTATAAAATTAAAGCAATAATATGATTGGCTAAAGCAATTCTTTGAAAATTAAAGAAGGTTCTACTAAGTAAAGATCTCTTTGGATTCTAAGAAAACTTGTAAAGAAGGTTTTTAAAATCTTAGCAGTACTTAAAATACTTGGGGTTAAAGATGCGAATATAGAAATCTGCAGCATAGTGAACATTTAATTTGATAGGCCTAAAGATCCCCAAGTTACACAATATAAAAAAATTTTTACAGTAACTCTTACTATTAAAAACCATATCATTAATTGACAACTTATGGTTTTACATAATAAAATTTTTTTAAAGTATATTATAGTATTCTCTAACTCTTTATATAGCTTCTGTAAAAAAAAATCAGTATAGATTATTATCCCGAAAAAGTTTACTTAGAAAGCAAATTTAGACAAGTAATACACAAATAATATATAACGAATAAGTTAATTAAGCTTTAATAAAAATATAAAAAACATTTATATTTAAAATAAACTATATATTTAGATACTATAAGTTTTGCACTTTATGTTGTATCAAAAGCTTGATTAGATCAGAAGTAGAGATCTGACTCGGTCAAAAAATTTGTATTTAAATATTTGTTTATTCAATACTTTAATATTTGAATATTCAGTAAAAAATTTTAAATGAATATTCAAATATTCATTGAATATTCATTGAATATTATATATATTATAATTAAACAGCTAGCTAATAGTTAATATATAAAATCAGAAAAGTAAATAATTTTAATTATTTAAATAATATAAAAATACAATTTATTAGTATTTAATTTAATATTAATTATTAAAAATAAATATATCAAAAATATTAAATTTATATTTTAATTTTAAAAAAATTTAATATTTACTAATAAATAATTTTATAGTTAATTAATTATATATATATATTGTATATTCAATAAATATTTAATGAATTATTTGGTAAATAAATTAAATATTCAAATATTCATTTGGTGAAAAAATCTTATTCAAATATTCGAATATTCAGTAAATATTCAAATATATTATTTATCAGATCAGACCTCTAATTAGAAGTTTACACTACTTCTAATTTATAATACTTAACAAGTTACTGCAAAATCGTGTGATCTTATAGTGCTATAAATAAGATACACTATTCATATTGATTTATGTAGAGAACATATATTAATTTAAATGAACTTTTATTATTTTACAGGAATCAAAGTGTTTAAGATAAGCTATTTGTATTTTATAAGTTACAATCTGTTTAAAGTTTTTTAATTGCGAATATATAGTTATATTAGTGCCAAATTCACGACTCTAGAAGATACCACAAGAAAGGACAAGTGGAAATAAGGATATCAACTTGTATTAAAGTTAAATAGCTTATTTTTTATATTACATATTCTATTCGCTAGTGTATAGCATAGTGGGGCTTTATTATAATTGACTAGAATCCAAAGCCATGAGTACAAATTCTAAAATAATATTGAAAACTACACCTTCGGCTCTACAATATACAGTATATACCAAAATAATTTGGTAATTAACAAGGTAATTCAGAAGTTAAATAAGAGTTATATTTGGGTGTTTCAAAATTTATTAAATTTAGATTTACAATGCTAATATATTTTCTTATTTATTTTTTTAATAAATTCGGGCCATGGTATAAATTCTGGAAAGTTGATATAAAAATTTAGAATCTACTAGTTCTACAATATACTGAGTAATCAACAAGAAGTTAGATGAGAGGTACAGTATATTTAGGCATTTCAAAATTTATTAAACTTGGTAAATATAAATATTTACAATGCTAATTTATTTTAACTTATTTATTTT